CAGGAAATACAACACAGCAGGGTATCAGCAAGACATTCCAGGGGAAGGCAGGGGCATTTAGAAATCAATATTTCTATACAAAGTTTGATTTTGAAAGTGAGTCTACATTCCACTGCTTGAGCCATAGATTCCTTTTCACCACCACGTTAGCTGCCTGAGATCTAGCAGAATATTGTAAGCTATCCTGAGAGGCATCTGCTGCAAACTGGGCTGCATGCTTTATTTTGAGCAGGGATCTCTTTAGGGTGAGTGGATCTGGTTCAGGATCCTGAAGCAGATTGTCAGACCAAATCACTATGGCACGTGTGAAATTTGAGAGAACTGCAGATGCTCTGACGGACAAGGATGCTGCTTCATGTGCTCTCTTTAGCACTGTCTCATTTTTCCTATTAACCGCATCTGTTAGTACATTGTCCCCATCTTTTGATAGGACCGCTCCTGAGTGTAGTGCCACAACCAGAGCATCCACTAAAGGTGCCTTCAAGTCCTCCATTATCTTATCCAGAAGGACATAAAAACCTTTTGGCTATGGTTTGTAAGGTTGAACCACCCCCAGGCACAGCCCACTCCGACCTGATAACCTCAAAATTTTCAGGAAAAGGACATTTGTTTATTTGGCTTCTTGAAGCCTCTGGTATCCAGGTCAGGAGTGGTCTTGGAGGTCTTTTGTACCTCTGTCTCTATGTTGTAATTAAGAGTTGAGGCCATCTTCTTAAGAAGTCTCTGAAAGGACTCTGGCTGGAAAAGTCTGGTAGAGCTTTCTTTTGTGTCAGATTCCTCCCCAGATCATTCACCTTCCTCTCTGTCTGAGCCAGTGATTGTCACATAACTGAGGGATGGGGGCCCTTCTCCCTCTGAATCATGTCTCCTAGTCAGCCTCCTTGCTTTCTAGCTGTTGTCTCTTAGGGGGAGGTGAAGACTGAGACCCATCATTATCTGGTTTCTTTTTACCAAAGGACCTCTTTTTTCCCCCCAACTGACCCCTCTGCTGCACTTCTGACTCTGGAGGTATAGCCTGTGGGAACCAGGCTGCCCTCCATGTATTCCAGTCTGAAGGGGACTGACCAAACATAGTGGGGGGGGGAGGCACGGCCCCCATACTTGCACTGGCTGCGTCAGCGGGTCCCGCCATGGTGGAAAAGGCTGGGGTGAAAGGTGCCCCATAATAGGCTGTTCCGCTGAGCCTGGGGTCTTGAACTGGTGGGGAAGGATTAAAGGTGTTTGGTGGGGCCGCAGGAAACTCACCGACAGTTGCTGCCATGGAACCTTCAGCCAAACTCTTAACAGCTTGCCTCTCCTCCCCCTCCCTTTCTGGCTGACTGGAGGCCTCCGGGGCCAACAGGGATGTTGGTGGCACTGATCTGCTTAAGCTTAGGTGATTCCCCGAGGCCTCGGGGGCACCCGCCTGCTCTTCACCTCGTCCTGATGCCGAGACAGCGTCCTGCAGCCCTTTCCCTTTGCCCAAGACCTCGGGTGGGCATGGCTTGCCTTGATGAGGGACACTTTTCTCTGAGGGTCCTGTGACCGGAGCCCTTTTTGAAGACTTCGAGTCCATCTTTAACGTCTCCTTTTTGTAAAATGTATTTATTTACTTTGTAACTGAAGTAGAGAGTGGAGCTAGGCTCTGACGACCCTCCAGGGCTATCAAACTGGAGGGACACCCATGCTCTGTCCTACTGGGCATGCTCAAAAATTTGCATAGCCCTGCCTGGAGCGAGAGGAGGCATGGCCTAACCAGTGTGGATGCCTTCCCCCACTGAAGGAGAAAGAAAGCCTTCTTGGCTGCCTGTGGTTCCAAGGTGGACTCTCTGGGGGCATAGGTTAACACAGCCTTGCAGTTCTCAGTGGCTGTTTGTGAAAGGTGTATTTTTTTAATCAGGTGGGTATTGAGCCTTTTAGTTGGGGTTGTTCAGTTGGGGTTGTTTAGTTGGGGGTTCCGCCCCTGTAGCTTTGGAGTTGCTGAAGTGGGTGGAGTTTCCTGTTCATGTTATTTGTGTTGTGAGACAAACTATTTACCTTAAGACCTGCTGAGCTTCACTTGACCACTCCTAGACATAGGAAAAGGTGTGACTCACTCTATTGAGACTGCCTTGGTTCCAAGGTCAGAATTGATTCTCTGTTGACCTTGGCTCCAAGCCCTCTTGCTAATGCCTAGTTCTAAATGCTGACATAGTGGCACAGCAGCCTCGGTTCCACCACCTTACTGCAGTCTCTCAGTACTGATGCTTAATTCTAAGGGGCTTTCAGCAGAGATAGCTTCAAGCACAGGCAAGGCCTTCTGTTGCTATCTCCATGGGGAACTCAGAACCAGTCAGCAGGTATGTTTTTTGGAGGCAAGCGTGAGCCTCTCCTCTTGGTTGCATGGTGGCCTTTGGGACCCTCAATGATGGTTTGGGGCTCCTTGACTGCTTCTGCTTTTCAATAGCCATGATGAACCTGCATCTCTAAGCCCAGTCCTTTTGTGAGCAATTGTTCCCTGTCTGTTTCATGTATGTTCATACTCCCTTCTTCCCACTAGGGAATGGCACTGACTCTCCCCAGGGTTCTCAGTCTCACTGCTGCTTCTGGGAAAGAGCTCTTATTTCAGCTGGACTGTCTGTGGAGTCACTCCTATGGGACACCATTTGTAGCAAGAGCCAGTGTGGTATCGTGGTTAGAGCATTGGGCTTAGATCTGGGAAACCTTGGTTCAAATGCCATTCTGCCTGAGACAGAGCTAATGTGCATCATTCTGGTGGCCTTAGCACTGCATTTTTCTCATGGCACTTCTTTTGACGCTAAATCTCTAGAAGTTAGTGCCATCTGAGATGCCTCCCCATGCAGATTGCCCTGCAAGCTGCACAAAGTTCATTTATGGTGCGTGCTGTCCGTCCTTTCTTTGGCCACACCAGGCCTGCTTCACTGCTTTCATTATTATGGTGCAGATCCGCTTGTTCTCACTCCTGCTGACAACTCTTCGGTAGTTTTGACCAGCTCCTCTCCTGCATTGCAGCAGTAGTCTCAGATTTTTCTGAGTGGCAAGCACCACTCCTTCAGTACCATATCTTGCTCCTCTAAGTGGAATGAGGACATTGTGGGTTCTAACCTATGCCCCTTCCATTCATAAAGTTTCACAATGTTAGGGTGTCTGATGGCCTAACCAGGATTCCCCACAAGGGACTGTCTCTCAGTACTCATGTCTCACAACGTTAGCCTTACATTGACGCCAAATATCTGTGTACTCCTTACATTCCTTGATGTGAATTTTCTTGGGGTTTTGTGTGCTAGGCCCCTAATACTTTGTATTGGTCTTTCAGGCTCCAAGGATTGTCCGCATCCTCACACAACCCATCCTTGTGAGTTGGTAGAGGCTATCACACTCTGTCTTGAATGCATGACTATTCAATGCCACTTTAAGGTATCACAACTCTTTCCACCAGAGCACTGTTTTTCCTTGCCGCATTCCTGAATGTATTTCAGCTGGGATGCTTGTAGAGAGATCCCTGCTCCTTTATAAAGCAGCTTTGGGTGAATGTCCATATGGGATGCTAAACAACTGTTGGGAAGGTGGTCCTCCACGGTCTCTTCCTTTGAGAGCTTTACACCCACTTCCTTCACTCAGTGAACCTGTTCATCTCCCAATGTGGGACTGTACAGAAACCATGGCAATGAAAACAGGGTTGCACTTACCTGTAACTGCTGTTCATTGAGTGGTCTTTTGTGCAGGCACACATCCACCTGCCCCATTGTGAACTCTCTGGATCCTTAGGCCCCCCTCCTGGTCATGTGTTGGTTTTGGCAGGAAAGCGCCAGAGGGAGGAGGGACACTCCTAGTCTGCTAAAAAAACTTTAGAAATCTTCCCTGTGGTTGGCCTGCACAGAGACTACTAAATGAACAATAGTTACAAGTAAGTGTAATCCTGCTTTTCCAAAACAGCAGCTATGTTCCCTGCTCTGTTGGTATCTCGGTCCATGGCGTGATACACTGCAATGGGATGGCAGTATTACTGTTTCCTGACTCTTCTTCTCTAATTTAGGGAGGTGCCGCTTCTCCAGAGGATGCTTTCTATAGCTGTAGAAGTGGACAAGTCTCCAATCTGCAGTGTCAATAAGATTGCAGAAATGGTATTTCCATCAGTGCTGAATATTCCCGAGCGCTGCCAGAGGTGAGGGATGGATAGTTAAACTCTGAGTTCATACAACCTGGGCATTGTCCTGAGGTGTCAGGCACTTCTGGGGAAAGGGCAAGTATTTGACAAGAACCTATGCCAAACTAATCAATGGGAGGATACATATCTGGGAGACTGCCAAAGTATTTTCCTGATAAACACATGAAACACATAAATTGCACATGTGCACACACACCATTTTATTGGTCCTGTTTCCAGTTCCTTACAACTGAAAAGCAGAGGTGGGATTGCTCTATGGCAAGTTCTGGAACTCTCCAGGGTCTCTAGGTTCACAGTTATTTCCGTTTACAAGGGCATCATGGCAAAGGAATTCTCAGATCTCTGTTGGTGTCATATATATTCACAGAGGTTGCAGAGTTCTCATAGAAATTATGCATAGTTTGTATCATCAGGGGTAGTAAGCTTCTGGCTCTTTATTTAAAACCAGTAGGAGGGGGAGGACATACTGACAACATAGTCATGTAACATAGAAGGAAGTTGCTGAACTTGTCATTTTTATAATGCAAACGCCTAGAATTGCATTCTACTAGCTCCTCTCCCTAAAAACCTCCACACCTGCATATAGAAGGGCTCCACAAGATTTACTTCCATCCATTTAGCTAGTCTCATATTAATCTATTTGTGCTTCATCTCGTGGCTGTAAAGCAGGAGCTGTTTTCTCAAGTGAAATGAAGTAGATAAGCTTCAGTCACAAACTTTCCTGACCTTGAGCAAACATTACTATTTACATGAAGTAAACATCTGCAGCAGAAGTGCCATGCCTTGATGACTGGGGGAGGCTGAAATGCATTCAAAAGGCTTTCAAGCATCTCTCTGCAGTAATGGAAACATCTGTTCTATGGCCTGAGTTCATGGGGGCAGTTTATCATGCCACTGTTTCTCCTTTCTTCCAGGGAAGCTTTCCTAAGCAGTATGGAATGCCATCTTCTGCGCTGTAAAGTGTTGGAGCTCATTTTTCACCACAGCTGTAACAAACCTAGCTGTAACAAACCTATCAATCTGCCCTTGTCTATGGAAAAAATCTTGTATTTTCTGACACACCTTTCTGTGCCGATAAAATACCAGGTACTTCACTATATCCTTTCTTCTTCTCATTTTGAAAACATCTAGCTCTCCACATGCTTTATTTGTTAATCATTAGTGATTTGCTTTTAAATCGTTAAAGGACATGGCTCTGCCTATAAAATTGAAAACTGTGGTCCGAATAGGGTGCAGGATCAGTCTAACATAAAATAGTTTTTCTGTTCACAGGACAATGAAGTAATATGGAAAAGATGGGATGAGATGCTTCACCTGCTGAATTTACTGGTGCTGAGTTATCACAGAATAGTCCTAGGTAAGCAACATTGCATCTGCATCAATATCAAATAATTCCTTTCTATTTGGGATCCATCAAAGAATTGCCATGTTATTTAATGTCAGCTCAACAAATGCTTTTCGGTTATACCACTTCCCATACCCAGATTCTAAAATGGACCCTCACCACCCCCAATTCCCAACAGTGGCATTATGAGAGGGAAGAGACTGCAAGGGAAGGGGTAATGTATAGAAAATCTGCATTCTCAAGTGCCTTCTGCTAATGCTTTGTTGCCTTTAACCCTATGATTCTAAGTAGATAGACAAAAGGTCACAACATCAGACCAAGAATAGTTAGTAGACTTCACCAGGAAGTATTATCACTTTAAAAAACATGCAAAACTGGAGTGTGCCTCCGAATCCTTTATGCTATCACAGATGTTTCTAAAGTGTATTCTTTTCAAAGGACAATAGCACAGGCTTGCCCAAGAGAGGCAAGGGACACACTATTTCTGATCCAGTCATCTTCCATGTATGCATGCATTCTAGCACCTTCTATGTCAGCAGGAAGGAGGTAGCTGTTTTCTGTCCCTTGTTGGGTGGGCTCACTGAAATAAAGAGAGCGTCCATTTTATGAATTGATCCTCTGCACCTTTGGGCAGATCCTTTGGGCTCTGTGAAGATCGAGCATGTGCCACTCCTTTTCTTTGGGAGGGGGGTGGTTTGGGGTAGAACAAAGGAAATTATTTATTTATTTATTTCACTTTTACCCCGCCCTCCCCCTAGGCAGGCTCAGGGCGGCTTCCAAAAACTGACAAGCAGTATACATTCATAATAGATTATAAAACATCAATTAAAACACAGCAATCAATATAAAACATTCATTAAAACATTTCCTGGGAGTGGTAGAAGGAATTAGCCTTTGGACTGAATGCTGGATTTGTTCTTAGCATCACTTGTCCTTGTGAAAAACACACAGACCTTTCCTGGTAGATAGAGTTCGTGATTCCAAGACCCTTCTGGCCAAAGTCACAGCTGTCAAAAACAGGACCATCATTTTCAACCATTTTAGTGGAGCTTCTCTCAGAAGTTCAAATGGAAGTTGAGTGGGCACCCAAAGAACTAGGTATAGTTGCCAAGAAGGGAATTTATGGACAACTGGAAGGTTTGACATGGCTACTCCTTTGAGATATCTGACTATGTAAGGATACTGAGCATCCATCTATCAACCGCTGGGACCACTGAAGTCAGGGCTGCCACTTGTCTCCATAGCATATTTTGGTCAACAATATTTTGCAGGATTTCCAGGACTTGGTGTAACATAGGGATGGATAGATCTAGGTGCTCCCATTTGTACCACTTCACATACACCTTCCATGAAGAGTTATGATGCAGAAACTCTTCTAGAGACTAGTATGTTGCATGTGATCTTTGTAGAATAGGCTAGTCTTAAGAGTCTTTCCCTTTCAATTTTCATGCAGTCCGGTGCAACCATGCTGGGTATGGGTGTCACAGTGGTCCGTGTTGAAGCATGTCCAGACTGACTGGAAATCTGCCAAGGATCTTCTATTAATAACTAAACACTGAAAACCTGCATCTCCGTGATCAGTTGGGGGCTATGCAGATCAGGGTTGCTTTTTCTTGTCTCAGTTTCTTCAGGGTCTTTGGTATTAGCGGAATAGGTGGAAAGGCATAAAGAAGGCCTAGGGGGACATTAGAGCCTCTATTTGCTCTTTTCCTGCCATCTGGAACCCGAAAAAGAGGCTAGGCACATGGTGATTGAGGTCTGAGGCAAAGAGATCCACCGCCGGGTTTCCAAAGTGTTTCACAATCTGAAGGAAGGTGTCCATCTTGAGCGTCCATTAATTGTTGTCCCAGTGTTGTCTGCTTAGCCAGTCTGCTAGCACATTTTGCTAGCCCTTGATGGGCTCTGCCGATATGGAGATAGATTCAGGTGTGTATTTGTGTTGGTCTGAAGCAGCAGAACAAAGTTTGAGTCCAGTGGTACCTTTAAAACCAACAAGGTGTAAGCTTTTGTTTGCACGTACACTTCTTCAGGTACATTGAAATGGAAATTACCAGTCCATACATGTAGATAAAAGCTGAGCAGCAAATTAGCATATGGCATAATAAAGGTGTTTTAACGAATGCAAGGACCAAACTGGAATAACAAGCATGATTTATATAGTCACCATTTTTTGGTTTAATTCCAGGGGGGGGGGGAAGCATAGTGAGGGAAATAAATACATCATAATCAGAGACCGATGGGCAGATGTACCATTCTTAACTGGAATGCTGAGAATAATTGAGGGTTAAGCATGTTTTTCTTGAATAGGAGCCCCCCTTGACTCATGGCAAATTGCTTTTGAAACAAAAAGGATATTCCAGATCATCTTGTGATATGCTTGGGGAGAAGCTGATAAAAGAAAAAGGAGTACAAAAAACCCCACCAACTACTTTTTTTAGTCTGACAGAATCTTCGGTGTCTGGCTGTCAGTTTGGTTAAAATATCATGCAGGTCCTAGAGACAGGAGTAGCCTTGTGGGGTGTGAGGGGTAGAAAGAGGCCCGGGTGGTTGAATATTGGGGGGGAAACTGGAGGACAATAATACTAGTGATTTATGTCTTTAATTGGTTGTAGTATTGTTTTAAGTGTGTTAATCGTTTTTATTGTAATTTATGCATTGTTTTATGTAAGCCGCCCTGAGCCAGCTTCGGCTGGAAGGGCGGGGTAGAAATCTGATAAAATATTTTTTAAAAAAATTAACTGCTATTATGCTCCGTCCATCTCCTCTGCTTATATGGAGTTGAGGTTCCATTCTGACCAACACATGATCTCTGCCGTCTCTGTGTGCAAGGGCAAAACTTGGATCTGCCCTGCTTGTTTATGTAGGCTTTCGTCAAGATATTGTCTTTTCTTATTGAGACATGATTGTTCCCAATCGTGTCCCAGAATCTGACTCGAGCCAGTCTGATTGCCCTGATCTGAAGAAGGCTGATGTTCATCTCCCTTTCTGTACACTTCCAGGTCCTTGTGCATTATCTTCCCTAACAGGTTGCCCCAACCCACCCAGCTCACACCTGTAAATATCTGGATTATGTTGGGCTTGAAGTATTTCTTGCCCTTGGCCAGACTGGATCACGAGGCCCTGTCAAAGAGGGTAGGCAAGAGCTACAGGAATGTCTGTCTTCTGAAGGATCTGCAGCTGGAAAGTCCTCAGGAACCACTGCAGATGAACTGGGGGACCGAGTCCAGGCAAGCGATCATTAGACCTTGTAGTCTTGCCAGAGTCATTAGTGATGATGAGCTGGAATTTTCTGAGTTGTCTTTTCGTGACTGAGGCTTTCTAGATCTTCTCCTTTGGCAGATACAGCCTGTTTACGGGGAAATCTATTGTGATCCCCATGAGTTCTATCCATTATGATGGAATTAAATTGCTCTTAGCTGAATTGATAAGGAATCCATGGTGGGCTAGGCATTAAGTGGTGGACAGAATGTCTGCATGCACTTGTTTCATGCTCAGAGATCTGATCAGTTTATCCTGATATGAACATGGATTCCCTAATGATGAAGAGCTACCATGGTCACCATCACTTACAAATATAAATACAAATACCTTTATTGGCAGCACATATACTAAAATTGGAACGATACAGAGAAGATTAGCATGGCCCCTGCGCAAGGATGACACACAAATTCGTCACCATCACTTTCTATAACATCCTTGGGGCCATAGCTAGCCCAAAGAGTAGAGCTTTGAACCAGTAGTGTATGTTGTAAGCAAATCTCAGGAGCCTGGGATGGAAACATGGAGGTATGCCTTGGTAAGGTCTGTGGAAGCCATGAAGTCTTGTAGGCGAACTGCTTTCATGACAGATCTAAGTGGCCCTGTCTTGTGAACCACAAGTGTGTTTAAGTACATCTAGAATCACCCTCCAGTCCCCATTTCTCTTAGAAACTGTGAAGAAAATCAAGTAAACCTCTAACAACACTTCACAGTCAGGAACTGGGTTCTGTGGCCTTGATATTTACTAGATGATAAATGGCTTTCATAGTTGGCAGATTTTCTCTCTCTGATTGGATTCTGGAAATGTTTCTCCTGTAGGTAGAAAACATTTGAATTCTATTGTGTATCCCATTTTTATTATCTCCATTACCCATTGGTTTGTGTTGGACTGACTCCAGTGGGGGAGGAAGGGGGCTAATCTTTCACCCACTTGTGGGATCTGACATCAGGCTGTCTTTTGTTGGGGCGTATTCCCTTTATTGGAAATAAAGGGTTAAGGCTGATTGTTTTTGGACTGGAAATATCCTTGTCTGTTTGTTCCAGTTGGGGCATCTTTGGTAGTCCTTTAGGCGTGGCAGAGTATGTTGGCTTCAAAAGGAATGTGAAGGGTTCTGCTGTCTATCAAGTCTCCTATATGCTCTAGGCATGGCCTTCTTATCCTTGGTTTCTACCAAGATGTAGTCCAGGTTGTCTTCAAAGAGTTTTATTTCCCTAAAATGGAAAGAATGCTAATATTAGCTTGGAATGATAATCAGCTTGCCATGCTCTGAGCCATAAATGTCTATGTGCCACAGCACGGGAGGAACATGCAGTGCATCTATTATGACATCAACCAGAAACATGACCACTTTAAAGAGCCCATTGGCATCTTCCCTGGTCTTTTCGTTCTCCTCCAGAATCAGCTGAACTAGTTTCCTACCTCAAATGATGGAAGCCCTTGCAAACAGAAATGATGAGGCTGACACCCAAATTGCAAGGGCTGAAGCCTCATGGGATTTTCTGCGAGTGTAATCTGATTTGCAGTCACATAGGGATCCACCCCCATCTTTAGTAGCCAAGGCCCTTGCGAGGAGAGCTATGACAGGAGCATCTACTTATGGAACCTGTAAGAGAGCTATAACGTTGTTAGGCAAGGAATAAAACATTTTTGTTAAAACTGGGTTCTATATATTAGAAAGAGGGTTTTGCCTATTCCTCTTTCATTTGGTTCTCCAAGAATTGTAGGAATGGTGTTACTTTTTCCACATTAGGTAATGTGGGGGAAAATTCCTCGTTCCCTTTGGGTTTGGCTTTAGGAGTGGTCTCTTCTCCCTTAGTTTCTCAGGGCTGTGAGAGATCTAGTACCATCACAACCCTGGCTAATAGACCCCAATAGTCCTCTCTTGGTTAAAGAGATGTTTGGGTTGCTGTGGGACTATTATTTCCTTCTCAGACATTTCCCCTTCTTCCTTAATGGAAGAACTGTTTGAGACCCCTTAGGAGGGGCTGAGTTACTGTGAGAAGGGTGGGATCTGTGCACCACCTTTTTAAATGTGTGCTTCTCCTTAGTCAGCCAGGGCTGGTGCCCTGCAACCTGCCCCCATCTGAAGAATCCTACCTGCTTCCCCATCTAAACAATCCATGGGAAGTGAGAGGGATGTGATCTAGAGGAGGACCTTGAACGATATCTTTCCCAGCTCCCTCATGGGGCAGGTGCAGCTCTTGCAGGGACCGGACTTCCTTCAACATTGCATGGCGAAGCCAGCTTGCCTACCTTCAGAGGATATCTGGAAATGGGGTTTGGGAAGGGAAAACATCTCTGCCTTGCTCTGTGGTAGTGCTCCATCTCCCTGACTGCTCTGCTGCAGCTATGATCATTGAGCCTGAGCATCTGCCAGTTATTGGCATGGAGGATCTTCCCACCAGAATCAGCTGCTACTGTTGAGGTGTTCTCCAAGGCACAGTCAAATCGTGAGGCATGCTTTTCTTGCTACCTCTGCTCACCTGCTGTTCTGCAGGACTGTGCTTGCTGGATTGTGCCGGGGAGTAGTCTCTTCCTCCTGTTTTTGGGAGGACAAGGAGGTCCCCATTCTCCTTGGAAATGAAGCCATCCAAGATTTTGTTGAAGTTCTCCATTGCCTTAGCCACTCGGCCTTCAGGAGGAGAGGAGTAGGCCGAGAGGAGGAATTGAGATATAGAAGAAATGAGATGAAGTAGGTATAAAATCATAGTATTAGGTACCTTCTGCTGAATTGTAGGGGCCTTGCTGAGCAGCTCCTACCAAAATCCTGCTTTCCCTAAGCAGAAAATGAACCAAAGACAGTAGGTGACCTACTCAGGGAGAATTTTAGTCCTGCCTCCATGATGGACAAATAGGAATCACCCTCCCCCTCAGAAAAAGAAACTTTACACTGATTAGCCAGGACGCTGCCAAAAAGAAGTCTGACAGTTTCAGGTCCTCTAACTTCTACCGGTTCAAGTACATCATTAGTTTGAAGGGTATCATCTGATAAAATGTAGGCCCAAGAAGCCTCTCAACTCACTTGTGTTCAGTTTTCCAAGAGACCTTATCACTAATCTTCTGTAATTTTCCTCCCTTACAGGGCACTCAAGGAGCTCAGTGTGTGAACGGATCAATTTGATTATCAAAGCTGCCAAACCTAAACTACAGTCACATGATTCCATCACCGATGCAGATTTCAGAATAAATAGTTTCCAGAAGCAGCTTTTGCAAACTCTGGGGCAACCACTTCCCTCAGCTATCAAAGAAAAGATTGATCTACTCCGAGTATTGTTTCAGACTACTACAGATATTTACAGAACTTTTGGGCAGTTTGATGGACCTCCTGGGCGTGAAAGTAACTGAGCAAAAGTTCTTCCATTCTAGAGAATCCTTCCTCAATACAAACACAACCTCCTTTTTTATACTCAAGTAATGCTTTGTACTACCAGTCCATGGGAAGTTCAATCAGTTGTACAAGTTTTAGAGTTCTGTCATATGAATTTAACATCATTTTTGTTCCCATTTCAGTTTTGTACAGGGTTTTTTTGTAATAAATTATTTCACTAAGGTGATGAGAGGAGATTTATTAAAGTTACTGAAAATCAAATGTTGCCGGTATGGAAGAGATTGTCACTGCAGCAAATGCTCTAGTACTACTGCAGTAATGATCACAAATCTTGATTCATTACCTATTTTTTATTGTTTTGTAGGAAGTGTTGGGCACAGTGAGACATGAACATAAAACATCACAAAATAAATTAAACAATAACCAAGAAGTGGGATTACTATTTACTGCATGCAAGCAGCAATGGTAATTGCCAACAGGCTAGACAGATCCAGGGGTGCTATCAAGGCACCTTAGAAATCCAGTCAGGGAATAAAAGGAAGCTGGGCGAAATATTATCAAATCACTTAACTACAGTATCACCCACAGTTTGTAGAAGGAATAGTTGGATTCTGATGGGAAACAGATTTCATTTGGGGCATACAAAAATATTAGCCTGGAAGTCTCAGTAAGCATGCTCACAAATAATGAGCTTCTATATGATGGATGTTCTGAGCGTGTCATCTCATTCTGGAAAGCCAACCTGTAGCTCAGAATTTACACAACAATTCATTGCCCCTGAGCGTGGACAGAATACAGCAAGCATTGTACTATTCACTGCTTAGAATATATCCAACAATAGAACTCTGTAAAAATAAGCATTTGCACCCACAGTTATTGGGAATGTGCACTGTGCTGCTGTCTAACAATATCAGCTTCACTGGATTCCAGTATCTGCTAATGCAGCATGAATAAGAATAGCCAGTTTATTTCCCAAGAACGATAATACTAGTTCACATGCTCTTCCCACAAAATGGCATTAGGGGTCCCTGATGTTAACGGTCACAGCAATTATTCTGTTTTTGTTAAGAAAGCAAAGCAATGATTGTACTCCAGAAGAATGGAACCTTGCCCAAAATACACTGGTTATAATATGTCCCAAACACTATTATGCAACTCACACCACAGTCCTAGAAGAGAATTTTATTTTCATGCTGAAACATTCTCTAACAATTAATGCCTTTAGACATGGACTCTTACAAGTGAAGAGACTAATGCCTCCGAGAACAAAACTCTTGACAGATCACTAAATTTCAATTAATGCTAGACCTCCCCTAAAGGTTCAAAGTAGAGATATTTAGAGTAGAAAAATTTTATATTGTCCTCCAGTACCCTGGCATGGATAAACAGATGCCTATGCAACAGCCAGACAGAGCACCCTAGGTATTCACGTCAAAAGAGCTCCAGTAGGCTGGCGGTTTCCCTTTATAAAACTTAGGTGTATATAGTAGCATAGAGCTTTATGTCAGAACTCCAGAGGCAGGATAGGTTATTGGTGGTGTTAAATACAATGGTCCTTTGGGAAAAGCAAGTGATTCAGAAAGGTATTAGGTTGCCCACACCTTTGTTTTCATGACCATGTGCAACTCTTGAGCTAGGAAACCGGTGTCAGAAGCTCATTAGAGTGGAATGTAGAAAAACAGCACTGGACCATTTTGTCCATTATTAAATATTTAGAACATTATCTGCCTCCATGTGGAAAGTTGCTAGAACCCAGTAGGAGTAAGCACATTCATGTCTCGTGGTCTGATGTTATGAGAACGTGGGGAACGTCTCTTTTCTTCAATAGTTGGAATGTCCATCTTGGGGGGCCTGAATGTTGCAGAGTCCTCTGCCATCCTGGTGGCTTGAGCACGCATTAACTCCATTGGGGTAGGCTTCTGGGCACCCTTGTAGGCCTGGATGGTAAAGCCCCCTGAGGGAAGAATATACAGGAAAGAGTCAGTACATTACAAGAAAGGTTTAATGTATACGTATACTACTGCCAAAAGCACTAACAAAACTGGCATTTTACAAGTTCTCAACACTAACTGCTCTAGTAGCTGTATCAAATGTGGCAGTTCTACTTGTCAACAAAAGATGTTTCAACAGATTCACATGAGAAAGCTATCAGCAGAGCTACAACCAAAGTACCTCTGTTGCTATGATATCTGCACTTAAATCTACAGTAGTTTTGTGTAATTGTCAGTGGAAGAGACAGCAGAAATGTTTGGGAACCAGCATTAAAGATAGTTAAAAGACTGACTAACATTTGCTATGAACTTCCTAACCAACAAAAAGCAGGTAAAGTATTTTCCTTTATTTCAAATGTGTGGAACAGACACTTCTCATCATGAAATATGATTAGGAGGCAAAACTGAGAAGACAAGTATAGTTAAACCAGACTAAAAAAGTTAACACCAACATTACTATAGAAGCGCTACCAAAGGCAAAGGAGATAGTGTCTATACTTGGCCCAAGTTTCATTTTCTGACAAATTTTTCAGTACCATTCCAGTTCATGCTTGCCATGAACTCTATTTCTCAAAGCTTTTCACAATTTTGTCTTGCCCTATATTTAACTGGAACACTACCTATTTTTAAGTTAATTACAGGTGAATGCCTGAGTCACAACTTAATGCTGGAATTTAACTTTCCTCTTATCTTGAGGCTTTGTGAAAGAGAAGTGCATTGAAGCCATTATCTTCCAGCACTCCTTATACCTGAGTCAGCAGTGGATTTCTGAAGAGCTCGAGGTCCAAAGAGGCTCCATTTTTCAGAGGATGCTTTATCGCTGTCACCACCGCTAGAATCCATGGAGACAAGATCTGGACCAGTGATGGAAGCAGATGTTCCCTGACTAAACCAGGTCCTAAAGTGAAATAATCAATTAAGAATAACTGAAAGACGTTCACAGCAGCAACGGACAACCACAATCATCCAATCTCAATGGAACAACTCTAAGTCTACAGCAGAAGATTAGTCCAAGACAATCATCAGAGCCACTGTACACAAAATCCACTTGCAAAACTGGCACCACTGAAAGCTCAACTTAGGAGAACTGAACAGAATTCTGATTGAAAAAGACATACATAAACGGTTGGGATTTCTAGTCATTTAGAGACAGCCTTTAAGTGGCCTTCTTTTTCCTCCTGAGAAGAGAGGCCTAGCCTGTCAGAAATGTACCTGTATGTGCGCTTGGGAGAGGAATGTGGAGTGCTGCTTGGAGTGGATTGGGCAGAAGAGGCCTGTTTCTCTTCTTTTGCTATTTCTCCACTTTGCATCTTTAGATTCTGTTAGAAAGGGTAAAGACATGCAGTTGGAAGCTTTTTGAAGCTAGTGACCAAACACCCAGCAATCTGAAAGTTGTCTCCTCCTTTCATTAGTTTAGCATAGTAAAAGCATCATGTTAAAAAGCTTGCATGCAAAATTGAAGTTTTGTTTGGTGAAGCCTCAATACCACTTAGCCCTCAACTTCAGACAATTCAATTATCTAACACTATTCCAGCATTATAAATCAGGCAAGTTCCTTTTTGCTTGAAAGAGAGAGTCAGAGACATTCAAAAGATACACCATCATTATAAGGACACTACCCTCTTTCCTCAACTTAACTTTAATCTTGAACTTAAATGTGAGATTCACTGGTCAGGGACAAATCCACTTTCCCCACAGTAGTTAATTCTATGCTCTATCTCAAAAACCTGGGTTTTTGTGCTGTGGAAATAGCTATTTGCATCATGAGCATCATTGCCAATGCTTCACTAGTACTGAATGAAGAATTAAATGCATTGTTATTTATATTAGATTCAAGAGCTAACTGCACAAGCTACTGACATGCATTGATATGTAGTCTTAAATAAGATGAAAGTCTTTAACAGAAAACTCAAACAAATCGCACCACTAGTAACACCCACCAGTAACCATCCCACCCTTAGACATCTGGTTCTGTAACGTAGTAACAGACCACCTCCACTAGAACTAGAGTACAGTGGGACTTAAATGCCTTACATGGAGTGACTCAGCCACCCGATGGTATTTTGTCTCCTCTGCAGTGAGGCCCTTGTGGGGAGTGTAGCCGGCATCTCTCAGCCCTGCCTGCTGCTCAAAGCGCTGAATGCTCTCCTGAGTTTGTTCTAGAATAGACAACATGATACATTCATACAAGCCACAAAACGATGCTGTCTGACAGATTTCTAAGGGACTCTGTCAAACATTCTCTGTAAATTAGAAATAAAGAGAATGGGAATTCTGTAAACCATCTACCATAAATGATAACCAGGGCAATAAAACTTGCTCCAAAACATTCTGGACACTTTCATGAGTCCAGTTTCATTATTGTTAAGTCAGCTTCTCAAATGGTATTTATTTAATAGATGGCAATAGAGAAAAACGACAACTTTAGGAGGAACACCCTCTGAATGCCAGCATGTAAAACTGTCCCATCATCAACTTTACTTATTTAGGTCAGATATAGTGTGCCTCTAACTCCATTCAACAGTAGTAATGCAATTAACCTAAACAGTACACAATCCTACACACTATAAAGCACCCATCTTACTACACTCCTTAAATGAAAAATCCAGATATACAAACTCAGGAAAATGCATATCATCTTTCAGCAATAAAATATTTTTTCATATATCTTAACCTAAAGAAAAAATGTTTCATTGCTTTACAACAAATCATGCCAGCACATTAGCCCCCATAGGGCTGGGGACATGCCACATTATTAAGACTGTTAGTTTGAAATCAGCATGATCTCACAGATTTGTAGAAGAACAAACCTGAACCTGACCTCACTATTGCTGTGTGTGCTAGACTACCAGCTAACCAGGGTCAGCGATGCCCATTCTAGAAACTTCACTGAAAGCTACAAACATTTCATACTAGAGGCTTCCAAAGCAAACTGACTCAGCACAGAGAACAAAAAAGTTAGCTACTGAAACCATTAGACTTGAGTAGTGCAGATTCAAATATACACCATGAGGCTATAGGCCTATGTCCCAGGTACCAGCCTATTAGCAGGAGGAATTAATACAGCTTGAAAAGGTCATGGTTAATTCAGCAGATGGATAAGTATTATTGTTTCCCTATAAAATTTTAACAGCTACCAATACACAAGTTTACTAACAAATGGAACAAGGTGATAACATGTCCCAGAAATACTGTCACTAAAATATAGTTAAGCACTGCAGCACTCAAGAAGTAGTGATTTTCATCCCTTCAAACTGCTAATCCATATTCTAGCATAAATTGCTAGTCAAGACTGAAATCTAAAGACAAGGAACGTTTTTGCTTAGAATTTAAAAGGCTTGCCCTTTATCATTAGAACACCTAGTCACATATGTAGTTCTCTCCCATGCATGCAGCTCCATCATCCAGTCCAGAAAAGACCTACAAAGCCAACCCACATGTCCAGGTTAACTTGCCTACTAGACGAATACAAGAACTCTTACTTGTCATAAGAGAATTCATGATGATGTGGGTGGCCTTGGCCTTCACCACTGGAACCTTGTTCACAGTCTCAGTGGAAGCTGAAGGGGTTATAGTAGATGGATGCATGCTAGTTTCCCCTTCCTCAACCTGTACAGAGGAAGCCAGGTACAATTTGAGGAGAAAGAAAAATTATATCAGGAGCATCCCAAGCTCATTCTGAGCCTTATGGGAATAAACTTGAACTGTACCTGAACAATAACCAAAAGGTATAGAAGAAGACTGAACACAGTGCTTTTAAGAATGGCATTTCTTCACTTTCCCTCCTATGACATCTGTATAGTACTGGTATAGCAACCAGCACATAAACAATCTTAGAAAAAGAGGCTGTCCTCCTAGTTTCCCTGAAAAGCAAATCTACTATAGCCTGTAAAATAGGTGAAAGAGCACTCCTCCACAGGAGATCATATTTCTTCACTGCCCAAAACACAAGACAACTGTGGCTTTCAGACTTCTTCCTAAAGGAACCACAAATCAGAATAAGCACAATTTGAAGCTCCCTCTACAACTTCTATCAAAAATAGCATTTTACAAAAGAGCTTACGTTAAAATTGACCGACTTCCATATCTATCATACATAGTTTTATTCCTTCCTTTTTCCAGTGAGTTCAGGGAAACATATAGAACTTTCCCTTCACATTTTATCATCACTCCATCCTTATGAGGCAAGGAATATGAACTCAGCTATCTGAGACTTTCAGTATTTTCTAGCAAACATTTCATCAACATGTGAAGGTTTTGCATGATCTTCTTCACTGTTATTTAGTAGGGATCATATCAGCTTTCAGATATAGCACTTCTGTTCTTTGCACCATGATACCTCAGCAAATTTTAACGTTTTGGCCAAATGAACTAACATTTAAAAATAAAAGCAAGGTTTCCTCACAGAGAACAGGTGCATCAAAATCCGAGACTTTGATACTCTCCAACATATCTAATTAGAGTGGTCTACTTACACAACTTGTCAGTCCTTCCCCTTTTGGGATAATGCTACCGGAATCTACCTGACATTTTACATCACCTATGCGTTCCCTTCTAAAGACTGCATACCTTGGAAAGCTCTTCATATTTTCGGTCTGGGATGACTGGCTGTTTCCACAGGATACTTGAGCACATGTTTGAAGGAGGAGGGGTCATTGGTGTTGTATCCTCCAGGGCATCATCGTAACTAAATGCCCGACGGTACATTCCAATTGGCTGGGACATCTTTCCTAGAAGCCCTTCAGAGCCATGCTCAATAGCTAAGGACAGAGATGAAAGATTTCACAGAGGCCTACACTTCAGCTCTTCACAAATCAGTACAGATTATATGAACACTTATTTAATGAGATAAACAATATTCTTAGAGAGATTTCAGTACTGGGGCAATTCAGAAATCTCTACCGTAAGATTCTTTCCATGAAATAACTGTTCAAGCAGAGTTATTCTGAAGATCGTTCAGAGCCATCTTTGCAAGGTTTTGACATTTAACATTTTGATGCAAAGGACTCATTCTTAATGAATCAAGAAGAGCAATCAACTCACTAAGAAATCCATCACAATTCAAGGTGGCTACCAGAGCTGGATAGTTCCCAAGCCAAAACTCCTACAAATATTGTACAATACTACTATCTACAACACTACTATCTATCAGAACGGTCCAGAACTGCTCTGACCCCTCATGTCAAATATCTCATGTAGACATCCTAATGGCTTTGCTAGAACTCATATAGGGTATTTGGCATCAGGATGTAACAATCAGATTTCCATTCAAATAAGCAAAAAGATACTAATATCAAGGACACAACATGAAAAAACAAAAACTGGGGGAAATGTTTGATTCTTGAAGTTTAAAATATTTTTGCACCTCTGCTTTAAAACTCTGGTATTTTCCACTTTCCACCAAAATAGACCACTATATTCTCCTCAAAATAGTAACAGCCAACAACCTTTTGTTCTTCATATTTATGACAACCTTTTGTTCTTTTGATATATATACACAACCTCCTGATAAAGAGGTTTTCAACAAAACACTCAATAGCCAGTTAAAGCCAGGAGACAGCTGCATCCAGTCCCACATCAGACTAAAAACTAATGTAATAAATAATTCTATAACTCATGTGGGAAAACTTCCTTCTAGGAACTAAAGTTCAGGAAGGTTTCCTCTCATGAGAATTAGAGATGTGAAGGCCTGGGAAAAAAACGGAAAAATTCGGGGAAAAAACGTTTTTTTTCCGTTTTTTTCTGAAGATTTTTTGTTTTTTTCCGAAAAATTGGAAAAAATGAAAAAAGAAAAGAAAAAAATGATTATGGAACGTTTTATTTTAACATGATGAATAAAATATTTTAAGACAAGGTGTTCAAATATTTTCCAAATCATTTCTAATATAAATATAAATATATA